GGACGTTAAACCCCGCATATCAATCAATTGTAATTGATATCAAAGAACGAAAAAAATGTGGACGAAAAGATAACTTGCTGCTGAGAGGGAGCAAACATGCAAACTTCGAATGACGCGTCTGATGCTCTGCCAAATGACGAACAGCGGAGGTCGCCCCTACCGTCCGTGTGAAATCGGTGTTATACAGAAAATTGTAGGGCACGAACTGCCGCCATGAATTTATTATGACATGATCCCTATTTCCGGTTCCTATCATCATTACCAACCCATCTAACGTACTCTGCGGGGCTGAAGTCAGGACACGTCAAACGCCTTGTTCTGACTTGCTTTTATGTCGTTTCTGGTGTACTGACATCCTTCTCGCGAGGCCTTTGGGGATGTTCTGAGTTCCTTGTTGTGTCCATGCTTGCCTACCTTGTCATTTAAAAATAACACGCTCAAAGTCAGGGTTTACGCGTTCACATGCAAGCTGATTCCCTTTCATGTCAACGTAATTATTATAAATTTCGTCAGGGTACTTAATTCACAACGATTGCGTTGACTACCAACCGGACTATAAACCATTCTGTGTGCAGAATATTCTGGGACTTTGGGTGTGTGCCTCTATTGCGCAGAAAGCGACTAAAAAGCTCCTGCATTACTTGAAGACAACAAACCTGAGTGACCGCCTATAGACTGCGTGTGCTCCTGATTGTGTGTACCTTTCTTCTCACTCTCCAACCCATTTCCTCCCCCTCATCCCTTCCCCAGTGCAGGGCAGCAAACAGGACGTGCGTCAGGTTTACCTTCCCTGCCTCTTTTGTATCTTTATCTCTCTCTCTCTCTCTCTCTCTGTCTCGAGTCAAGGTACTGAGTTTTTGCTGCCCTCGCCTATGTTCCCCAAGCTTTGGTATAGGTGTGCGTATAAGGAGGGCAAGAGGGTGAAATATCATGACGTCATAGATTTTGCAGGCATCTACTAGGTCCCTTGTAGCTTCTAATCGATAAAAATGAAGTACATTGTACTCTGTGTGAGTCATAGACCACGCATACGATGTTTCAGAAAATTTAATTGAGCCAATGAGGCGTAAATACGAAACATACGTGTTGAAATTCGTTACGTCACGCGCGGAGCGAAATTTGAAAATGAAACTTCCAGCTTGATTTGCTCTATTGATAACGAACTTAAGACAGCAAAACTCGGGGCATATTGGAGTTCCCAGAGGGTAGATTATCAAGTCATTGCTCCTATTTAGTTTCCCTTCAATGCTGAGATCGCCCCGCCGCGGTAGTATAGTGGCTAATGTGCTCAGGCTGCTGATCCGCAGATCGTGGGATCAAATCCCGGCTCCGGCGGCTGCATTTTCAATGGAAGCGAAAATGCTGTAAGCTCATGTGCTCTCTTTTGGGTGCAGGTTAAATAACCCCAGGTGGTCAAAATTTCCGCAGCCCTCCACTACGGCGTCTCTCCTAATCACATGGTGGTTTGGGGACGTTAAACAACGCATATCAATATGAATTAATGCAGTGATCGGCTCACGCCCATGTCCCTTGGTATCCATTCCTAATTTCAGGTCATAAATTCACAGTGGCGTCCAATATTGCCACGCGGGTTTCCTGTTTAAATTTTGCTGTATTTGGCTTACGCCAGCAAAGAATGTCAGAACTGCTCGCCGTATAGACCACGCCCAAGTAATCGAGAAACTTCGCGACTGTAGTGCAAAGTTCTGTCAAGATTGTGCTCCAGACGCAAACAGACTATCCAGAGCGTGTGCGACCACCATTGATGAGGCTGGAAAGTTCGAGGCGTAATATATGAGAGACGGTGCGTCCCAACTATGATCACTTTTATCGACGGCCGATCTTAGTTTGTCGCTATTAGTGCCAGCATGTCCGATTTTCCGTCTACCGGCCACAAGTTCGGCCAAATACAGAATTTCGTATTGGACTTACGACTTCTGCCTTTCTCAGTCTGGTATGTCGGCTGGTCCTATTTTCCCGATGCTGTGATATGACCTGCAACATGGTGGTCTTGGTTGAAGGGACCTCAGGCCTACACAGTTACATGCACCAGTTAACGAGAAACGGTTTTCACAAACGCCAGTACATTATGAAATAAGCGCAATATGCACAAAAACTTGGAAACGACACGTGATGAAGCGCAGGCAGGAAGCGCTTCATACTGTGTTTTTTTTAAGTATTTGTGCATATATCGCTTGTTTAATGATGAACCCTTACCAACACGCCCAACCGGCTAATACCAGTGGTCCATATGGTGCTTGCATCCCTGATTGTTTTCTCTTTCGGCTCCGGCAGTGTTCGCTCTGTTTTCACCGCGTACAGCTTTCTGCAGCTCATACATGGTCCCGACGGTGCAGTGCTCAGCCAATCGGAACGCACTGCTCTGAAGGCATGGCTGCAGGTGGTTGCACATCAAAGATGTATACATGGCTCGGTTCTGGCTGAACGTGTCCTCGGGAAACATGTAGGACATTGATTTTCGCGATACCGATTACTTCGACTAACGCAGCATTTTTGTATCGAAAGATTGGACATGGCGTAAAAAAAATAACACAAATGTGTATGACCAGGGTGACAGGCCGAAATGATGCGAACTACTTTCAATTGGAGACAAGACCACTTGCGTAAGAGACGAATGCACTTTAAATTTTCTATTTTCGAAACAATGGTGTTTCCTGTGCACCACACAGTTTCATTTTGACCCCGCCGTTGGCCACCATTGATGGACACTATGTGTCATGTGCGAGAGAAACGCTGGTATCTCTGAATAAATATCCGTTTTCTCGCTATATGTTGTCAATGACGACCACATACAACCTTAAAATGGGGCAATAAAGGGAAGGTGGAAGCTTGCGATGAAGAAATCCGTAAACTGGTGTGTTGTGTTCGAGGTGACGTTTCCACAAGCCGACATAGTCTTCCTCAAGGCTAGAACTGTTTTAGCTTCAAATAAGGTAACTCCCAATGTCGAAACGTCAGCTCGAACACAACACTCCTGTTTGCGGATTTTTCCATAACGATTCACCTCACTAAAATAGTAGTAACTATAAGAGACAGAAGGCAAGCGGTTTATAGGGAGATCGAAGGTTAGGTGGGCAGATGAGATCAAGAAGTTTGCGGGTATATATTGGCCGCAGCAAGCACAGGACCGAGTTGACTGGCGGAACATGGGAGAGGCCTTTGTCCTGCAGTGGACGTAGTCAGGCGGCGGCGGCGGCTGCTGCTGCTACTGATGATGGTGACGATTATGAAGATGATGATAATGATGATGATGACACCCACCGAATTCGCGGCTCTATAGCTGACTTGCTTAAAGGAGTAACGGAAGTACTCCGATGTTTTGGCACCAGCCTTGAGCACATAACAAATAAGGTGGAGAGACGCTCGTTCTCTGTCATACACGAGAGAAAGACAGCTCTTATATCACACTGAGGTCACGTACCGGCAACGGTGATTTGGTGGTTACGGCATTCGACTGCTGACCCAAAGGTCACGTGATCGTGCCCTTTATGGGAGAGGCGGCAATGCTTTATATCCTTGTACGTTGATTTAAATGGCCGTAAAGCAACCGTAACGATAAAAATAATTGTTGGTGTTTAGCATCCCAAAATCACTACATTATTATGAGAGATGCAGTTGTGGAGGGCTCCAGAAATTTCGACCCTCAGGGGTTTTTTAACGTGCACCTAAACCTATAGGTACGCGGGCCACGAGCACTTTCTCAATCACCAAAAATGTCGCGACCACAGCCGGGATTTCATACTGCGAACTGCCGGTCAGCAGTCGAGTTCTGTCTGTAAATACTACACCACAATGGCGGGTTACGCTGGGTTGCCCCTGCAAGCTTGTGCCCTGCAACACTTCTTGTGCACGGTCAGAAAACGCTGCATATCGGTATCCGAGGCTCCCGAGCACACGTGCGCCAAATATTACATAGCGCTGCACGCTGCCTGGAACATACAATAAATTCTCAAATCAGTCAAAAATCGCTTTCTTCACAAACGCCGCTACATGTTCCCAAATCACTACGTGCCTGTCCAAATATGTCCTAGTGTACTCAGATTTGGGTGCACGTTAAAAAACCCCAGGTGGTCAAAATTTCCGGAGCCCTCCACTACGGCGTCTCTCATAATCAAATGGTGGTTTTGGGACGTTAAACCCCACAATTCAATCAATCAAATATGTCCCAATGGCTCGTTTGAGCATGGCGCGCCTCGTCGTTATACCGGGCCCGCCTCGGGAGGCCGCGGCTTGTCCACGCGTGCGTGCGCGATCACACTCAAAAGCCACGCATCATTGGACGTGAAACACCAGAGTGTATCATTATCCCTGGCTCTGTTAAAATCCTATTCGTAGATTCCTTGTCGCTATGTGTTACTCTCGCAAGGTGGATCTATTTCCTCTGTATTTCGTGCCGCTCATCTGTTCGGAATACCTTGAATTGTACGTGTTTTCATTTTGCGTTCAGTTTTGTTTACTTCTGCTCTTGGCGTGTACCGTTAGTTTAATATGAAGTGACCAGTGTTTTTTTTTTATTTTACGCGTTCACCTGCACCACAATGTCGGAATGAACACAGGAGCGTGAGCTCTTTGTGCGGCCTTTGTAGACTTTTGCCCCGGCAGCTCATTTCTCTAATAGAAGCGAATAAAGCTCAAGACTCAACGTTATGCTTTGCACAGTCACCCCGTACTTGACGCATTGTTTCAGAATAAGCACATTCGATTCAAATCACCCTGACTTCAACCTCGAACGAGTGATTGTGACTTTTGTGAGTACTTGAAGAAGAAAATCAGCATCAGCCGCGAACTAATCATTTCTCTTAACCATAGCATGTTGTTCATTATGTACAAGAACACAGAAAGTATTAATTCCTTCTTGCCATTCGCATTTATTTCGCTACGCATCCGGAGTAGGCAGATGGCTGGGCACAGCTGCAGCGTTGGTCACCACTAAGAGCTTCCGGTTTACTTAGAGAGCGTTATTAACAAGAAACCATGGCATGGTAGTACTAATTTATTAGAATTGAAGCTTTATTTGCTTAATAGTTCTGCAAAACAAGCAAGTACCACTTTCCAGGACTTCCTTTATCGGTTGTGCTCAGGCGTGCGTCGCAGCCAATCGAACTCATCCTTGCATTTTTTGTTGCATGCAAGCCTGGAAAAGGAAAAGATAGAAAATTTTGTTTGTGTTTTGTTTTAGTTTTTTGGGGGAGGGGGAGAGGAAGCGCGGTTAGTTTTCAAATGCGCAGCACCTAGCCGTTGTGCGATCGAGCCTGACGCACATCTGCGTATTAATGCTTCCCTTTCATTAAAACACAGTTCAGGCAAATGCTTGCATAGCAAAAGAAGCGAGGTCGTTTACTCTGCATACCGGAAGAGACATTCTCGCACTCATATAATTTTAAACGGGTGTCCCACATCTGTAGTAACTTTTCGCTGTGGTTACGTCGTTGATGATACTTTACCGGTCTGATAAAGCGATACGCGTGAAGTTTTACAGGGCAATACACGTAACTGAACATAATAAACACCCCCATCAATCGTTAATTTTTTTTTCTGCTAACCTTATAGGCAAATGAATAGACGTTTACATTTGTTTATGCTTCTATACTAAGTTGCGTTTTACCTTTCTTACAAATGAGGCTGTAAATGCATACGCAAATTGAAGCTGTTAGCAGCAATACTAAAACAGAATTGTGTCATGTAGACCGTACACTTTTGAATTTATAGAGTACTTGGAAATTTCTTTCTGTTTTCAATGTTTGCGCTTAAGAAAATATGCATACGAATAGGAGTCAAATAAAACTAATAGTGCATTTCTATTCAAATGCATTATGTAAATTATCAACTGATGCAGGCTGTACTATTCCTCCGTGGCTACGCAAATGATTTCAGTGCTCTTCGCTGCTGTGCTTTCTCTGGAATGGCGAAACTATAGGTATGACTAAGCGAATGCACACGACTACATTTTGACCAGGTTGCCTTAAGCAATACATTCATCCTTCGGTTACGCTGAGGCAGGAGCGCTGACATGTTAGAATAAAAAAACATTTACTCCTTCTCCCACTAAAAGGAACCGTGAGTAGCACGTGAAGCATCGCATGAGTGAAGTTCCATTCATCCCGGGCACCTTGCCCGATGTTAACCCGTTCTTGCAAGTGGAGCACACCATGAATTCACTATAGTTCCTGATGCTGTTACTCGTCCCAAACTCTTGTTGGAGCACGCAACGTGGGTTCATCGCGCTTCTGTAGAATCTCGTTCCCTGAGGCCATCCCGCGAGTACTGAGGGCGCGTGAGTGGAAGAGGTCACAGCCTTTTACACGGCCACCTACCCACGTCCGAACGCACTAGAGCGGGCCAGCGCGTTCTCATTGAGGTACAACGCGTTGGTTCATCGCGCGTCTGCAGAATCTCGTTCCCCGACGCCATCACATGATTGCTGAGAGAGTGTAAGAGGGAGAGGTCACAGCGTCTTATCCAGCCACTGACACGGGCTGGAGTGCGCTAGCGCGTGAGCGCGTTCTGGCAGTGCTAAAGCCAGCTGTTACGCTTGCACAGTAAGGTTGGTGACGCACAAAGGATTTAACTCGGCCATAAGTGGCATCGAATACAAATCTGCTCAGCATCCACAATAAGTCACACATGTGTAATTAGGCACGAAGCCATAATTACATGATACTCACTCCAGCATCGTCGAACATTTTGATGTCATCAGCCGACATACCGCTGGATTGCTGCCCGGAAAAGAAAGAAAGAAGAATGTGCAATATTCTTGAGTTCTAGATGTCAACGTAGCCTCCAAAGCTGAGCGCGTTCACGGCTTTATGCTTTTTTTAATGGATTGTAGCGTCAACTGTAGAAAGGTGATCGAGCAGCAAGACTTAGTAATTGTTAAAATTGATGGATTGACTGATTTATTGATTAACACACACGTACAGCATAATAGTAAATGGAGGTGGATGAGGGAAAAACGTCGCACACAGGCTGCTTGAATGAAGCCTCGCTCTCTTTTTGTAGAGCATGGCTATATGCGATAAAGCAGTAATATATCAAAATGTTACACTAAAATAGCGACCATAAACAATTACTGTTATACAAGGAAGAGAAAAAAACAATTACACAAGGGATCACTGCACTCAAATGAAGTGGGAGCAAAATATACATGTACAGTTGACCAAAACTCTTAACTATTGTGTGCAGCAGCCACTTTTTTGTGTCTCAGTGCCATATTACTGAATGAAGTTACAAAAAAATGCTTCGGGGACATGTGATTTGTGGCTATACACTTGTACTCGCCTTTTTTGAAACTTAAATCAGTCGTGTGGCAAAAATACACAGAAAAACTGCCACTCATGCATCACAGCTGAAGATTCGGCCGACTGTACTTCACAAAATGCAAGAAAAGCTAAGAAAAACATCACACATTAATAACTTCTAGAAACCTTCCAGAAAGGGAAATGCATTGACGTTTTAATTTTGGACAATGTTAAGTACTGTAAATTATAGTCTGCTCTATTGTATAAGTAGTCTAAAGGGATTGTTACGTAGCATTTTATAAGCAAACTTCGTTCTATAAAGCAAACTAAAGTGTTAATGGGAAAACTATTCCCGGTACCCTTGCAAGTATCTTCCCTCACGTCACTATGAATACAAAGTCATTTTTCTTTCATTTGCCTTCCCGCACACCATCTACTTGCTCTACTAACTTCCCGGTGTCATGCTATATAGGTGAACGTAAATAAACATTCCGACACATCTTAACATGCATTTCTTTAATTACAATTACACTTGCTTTTTTGTGTGTGTTAAACTAGAACTTCGAGCACTTTCATCTTGTTCATTTTACATACGAGTGATTCTCTTGCTTGCTAATACTAGCGTACTCGTCATTTTTGGACAACTTATAATGCTTTTATCGGTTTTCTTGCTAGGTATCTCTTCATTACTCGAGATATTTTGATAGCAAGAGATATTTTTGTAGCAAAATGTGCTCGTTGAGCTTGTTTGTGCCGATCTGTCGAGAACTGGCTCTCTGACTATTAAATAGGTCCACGCTGTCCACACTTTCTGCAGACAGATTTCATTTCGGCGACAAAGAGAATGCTTTTCTTCATCTCATAAAATGAGGTTTTAAGGCGATATAGAACTTCGCCTTGCTGATATTTAGCTGATATTTAGCTGATGAATAAGCCGATATTTAGTGAACTTCATGACTGCTATTAATTTATGTGATGCTTCGGTATCCGAAGATGCGTGACTTACCTTAAATGCGTTCGCCTTTTCCTTGAAGCAGTTCTTCATCTGCAAATTATTCAAAGTAATGATCGTCAGGTATCCGATTCTATTCTGCTATTCTTAGTACAGGTTCTTTTAAGCTATAGTCAGCGAAGCACTATAGTACTTCAGTCGTTTTTTTTTATATCAGCATTTCATTCACTGATGTGGTTACTCTCGCACAATGACGAAGTTACATACAAATGACCTGTTACATTGTTAGAGAAATCCCTCACCAGGTAAGGGCCTACAAAAAAATAGTAAGCAAAAGAAACATGCGATATGTCTGGATCTCCTAGTTATAGTCACCTTTGCAAATTATGAAACACCTGCGTAGCACGAAAGTGATCATCGGAAACCTAAAGCGCATTGGAGGGGGGGGGGGGGGGGTCAACCCAGTCTATCTTGCTGGCCTTTCTTTTGTGAATACTTCTACAAGTACAATTTTCCTTTCTCGCCTTCCCCGTCTATCCTATGTTACACATCCATCTTTATTTATGTTAATATGTGGCAAAAGTCTGTTTTTCGGAAAATAAGGAAGCTGTGGCATGGCTAATACAACGTTGCTTGAGGCGGATACCTAGGTTTTTCTTGAACATAGCCGAAAAATTCAAGTTCGTGAAGAATGTGGTAGCTGCGTCTAGCATCATTTCAAATATCGCATCGTGTTATCACGCTTCTTTGTGAAATGAAGGCAATAGTTGAAGCGCGAGTAGTTCACTTACCGCGTTCTCCTTCTCCGTCGGATCTGAGATGCCCATGTTCTTGCCACCACATTCCATGACCGTCGGAATGATTCCATCAGCAAACTGCACGTAAGAGAAGCCATTATCAACAGCACTATAGGACGGTACAACACAAAAATCCCGTAAAGGTCTTGCTCATATGACAGAAGCGAGGCTGACGACCATCTTGACGACTAAAGAAATGGTAGCGTTCATGCACTTATTAGGGTTTAGAGTCAACCTGTGCGACAGATAGCAACGGCGGTATCTGTCACCCAAGTTTACTATAAATCCTGTGTAGCTTCCTTAAAAGTCATGGTCGCCAGCCGTCCGGTTAAGGACGTCAATCTGGAGCATCTCATTGGAGCATCCACCTTTGAAGAGAAAATGATGAAGACTTATAAGTTCTGCCCTGTTATAAGCACACTACTGAATACCCAGATAATTAAGAAGGATAGTTCATTTCTAAGTGTGCAGTGACTTATTGCCTTCTCTAGTGCGGGGAAAAGATGTTAGAGATCTTTAGGGTTGGATACCTACACCTTGAACAAGATGGGTTCATTTTATTTGCGTATATAAGTACGCCGTAGGCGATTTAGACAGAATTTTCCGTCCACGCGAACGCAAGTATATGTCGCACTGGGATCCCTACGAAATCAATGAAAAAAAGAACCACTGGGAGACGCTTAAGTACGCACGCTACTTTCGAAAGAAAAAATAGGGGGGGGGGGGGGGGGGAATAGGATGCAAGTTCATCAAGTAGTTAGAGCACGACGCATTCGCATTGGTAGCACACCAACATCAATGTAAGCGAAACTCTGCGGACCACATTTTCAAACGGCCCAAGAGACAAACAGGATAATTGGGAGAGTGCCTGTTTCTGCATTGTGGCTGGGTTACAACTCTCTATCACTCACGTCTTTCGTAGCTGTCGCATCCTTTTCGGATGTCTTTCGATTGTTTAAAACTGATCATCTGCACGACGCGAATAGTCAGGCTTTGTCTCGAACATATGTGATTATCATGCGATTGTGCTACAATTTACGGGTGTTCATAAATAATTGTGTAGCGAAAGGCAACTGTCTGACTGATTTAACCATATGGTGTAGTAGCGCAATTTTCACGGGGACGAAGAGGACAAGAACAGCGAGTGTCGTGTGTTCTTGTCCTCTTCGTCCCCGTGAAAATTGCGCTACTACACCATATGGTTAAATGATGTCTCACCAACTAGCCCAGCTCTCAACCCTACTGTCTGACTGAGCTACACTGACCTAGAGAACTTGATTGATGGATATATGTGGGGTTTAACGCCCCAAAACCACCATATGATTATGAGAGACGCCGTAGAAGATGGCTCCGGAAAATTCGGCCACCTGGAGTTCTTCAACGTGCGCCCAAATCTGAGAACATGGGCCTACAGCAATTTCTCCTCCATCGAAAATTCAGCCTCCGCAGCCGGGATTCGATCCCGCGACCTGCGGGTTAGCATCATCCGATTACATTAGCCACTAGACCACCGCGGCCGGGGACCTAGAGAACTTACGTTGAAGCATTGGCTGAAGCGACATTCCCTGTTTAAAGATCTTTGTCCCGCCTCGGTGGTCTAGTGGTTTTGGCACTCCACTGCTAACCAGAATGCCGCAGGCTCGAATCCCCGCTGCAGTGGCTACATCTTCGCAGGCGGTCAAAATCTTTGAGCCTCGTGTACTTAGATATAGGTGCACGTGAACGAACCTTAATTGGTCGAAATTTTCGGAGCCCTCCAATGCACCATTTCTCAGACTCACATTGTGGTTTTTGGACCCCCGATATTATTATTATTATTATTATTATTATTATTATTATTATTATTATTATTATTATTATTATTATTATTATTATTATTATTATTATTATTATTATTATTTAACAATATTCCATGTCTTCAAGCCTTCATTACATTCTGAACATCTTTCTTACTTGCGTGTAAACAAATCGCCACTCGTGAATAGAATCAAATATTCTTCAGTTGGCCTGATGTTAGCGAAAACAGGAACATGCTTTAAGCAAGAAGGAGAAACTACCGTGACAGCCAAGTTCTCCGACGGCTATTAAGAACATACCATGAAATATCAGTGTTCTTGTAAAGGTACAAAATGGAGTCTCGGCAGAGAGCTACATGCAATGTTATAATGTGCCTGTTGGCCAGGTGGTAATAACAAGTACCTACTTTCTTAATGACATCTGGGCTTATTCCTTTGACAATGCCCATGCAGTCGCGTGCGCTGTCAATCTTGTCGATGTACTCCTGTGCCTTGGCCTTATCGGGGACGAAATCTTGTACCAGGTCCTTCAGTTGTTTGAGCACGGCTTCAACGGAAGCTGCAGTCAAGGAGTGTATTAAAAAGACTTGACAGTAAGACGGTAAGTCGGGCCAGTTGGTTAGGATCCATCGTGAACTTTCTTACAGCGCAACACCAGAAAAAATACAGGACAGGGAAGGAGTAGAACAGAAAGAAAAGACGGCGCTGACTCACAAGTGTTGTTTATTGGAAAAAACGGGGTGAAAAGTATATATAGGTCCTGGCAGCCTACACCACAACATGCGCAGAATACGAGGTGCACCGAGGTAGCGTTATCACACTCATGGCAATAAACAAGCTTGGCCTAAATAACTTAATTCTTTTTCATGCAGTGTGACGGATGGTTCACTAACGCACTTGCTACCCCTAATCTTTATATGATATGCCTCAGTGATTTCTCTAGTTAGCTGGTTAGGATGCTTGAAGATGATGGTGGTTCTCTCAAAAATGGGACGACAACCGCATGACCTGCAATGCTCTGGCAGATGAAGTCGCGCGATCCCTTGAAGAGATAACTCATGCTTTCTTAAACGAACATTCACACATCGTTTCGTTTGTCCCACGTACTCCCTGCCACATGATAATGGAGTTAAATACACAGCTTTCTTTACGCATGCGATGTACTTGTTTTTATGATTCACAGCGCATCTCCCTTTGGCCTGTTTGTTCCTCAGCGCATTATCAACCATCGGGCAAATGCGACCTACCTTATGTTTGGCGGAAAAAAGGACGTCGACACCTTACCTTGAAAACTTGACACACTGAGATGGCATCTTAAATCACAACTAATGGCTATTAGACCTCAGACAATTCAGTATGAAGAAGCTACTGGGCCCGTGGCCAACTAGAGCTATGAAGACACGCTTGGCAGCCTGCAGTGCACTAACACGTTTACCTACCATTTCTACTCCATAGAAAGGCGACTCCCATGACCACGGCTGAACTCACTGGACATTCAAGCCCCGTAACTACTGTGTACCACTGAATTTTTCAGTTGTATCTGCTATAAGAGGCTGAACTTAAAGCCTAAAAACTGCTGCTTGGTGGGATTCTTGACGTGGTAAGGGGTAGTTCAGGAATAACCCTCCGAAGCCGAACATATGGACAACGCAAAACATGAGACTACTACTGTAAAAACCTCTCCCCACACTTCCCATTAACTATGGCTTACTCTACCGGCATCGACATATGCCTTACATGTGTACGCAAACCCGGTGTGTCATGGTATCGTCCAAATGTGCGCAGCTTACTCACCATTTGCGTCCACCAGGGCGTAGCTGAAGCATAGTACCACGACCGTGATCACAACTTCATTCTTCATGTTTCCTTAGTGGCAAGGGATATAGTTTATCCAAGGGCTCACAAGAGAAGCAAACCACAGCGTTTGCCTCTTTCAAGTTTGAAAAGTAGACCAACTACTGGGAGCCTGATCTAATGGAGCGAGAACACACGTACGTATCCGTGTTCGCCCTGCTGGCCTATTGGGCCTTCTATCTTGAATTTATACGGCAATACAGGAAAGCTCAGGATACGACTTCATTTCCATCAAGCAAGAAAAAAAGAGACAGAATATGACGAGTAAAGCTTCCGTATCGTCTGGTCTGAGGAGATAGTGACACCAGGCGTAGCACAAACAGTCGCTGCTTCTCCTTTATTCCTTTACCTTTTCTCATTTACTTCTGCTGTACTTCTCTATCACATGACCGATCGCAAGGTGGTGAAACAAATGGTTATATGGCTGTAGCCTTACCGCAGCTGCTTGACCATGCAAGGCTACACGGGCATTCAAGAGAGGAGCCCTGGCGTGCCGCGCACCCAGCTTGGCGCTTTGTTCGCGGAATCGAATAGAAAGCGAAATATTCGGTGGCCGTGGTGACAGACGGGCCGTATCGGACCGCATTTGAATAATGGTGTGGCGCACTAACGCTAATGGCTTCCACGAGAGGCTAGAGTAAAGCTCCTTGCCATGTGTTCTGTCTGGAACAAATAAAGACTCTTTGCCACGCGTGGTTTGACACAGGTATAAATGAGGTGCAAAGAGAGAGAGTGAGAGGGGCTGTTGCGAAAGTGCTTCCACGAGTGCGCCTGAACGAGAGCAAACTTGCAACAGTTGCAGCAACGTTGCAACATCTTTTTCACATTACTATAGCGTTGCGGTGAAACCGTGCTTATGTGTTGATTGCAAAAGTGGCTGCACAACCTTACACTCTGCCGCGATGTCTACCTTACATAGTATTCTGACCGATGTCCTTCCTGTGGAGGATGCCCAAGCTTGCAACATTCAACCTTGGAATGCCCCAAACCATTGGGCCCACCTGGAATACCCAATCCCTCCCCCTGACAATAAGAAGCCGCTCTTTCCAGCACAGCTCTGGATGACTAGCGAGGATTGATTGACCGACCAAGCCGGATAGCAACAGAAAGTCGCGCCCTGGATTGAGGCCCACATTCTCTGTGATTTTACAAGCAAAATGAACAAAAATTTCCGCTCCCGCCATATCAAGAAGATGTCCAGAGAGAAACCTACATTTAGAATACCTGAAAGATTTCGGTTCGTTGGTTAAGGCTGTGGCACGCTCGGTAGCCGGCAACGCCGAATAATTTTGACCACCTGGGGAGTAACGTCCACGAATATAGCACGGCACACGGGTCTCTAGCATTGACCTTCCCTAGAAAGGCTGCCCCTGTTGCCAAGATATGAAGACAACTGTTGCCAAAAACTGAACTGAGCTGAACAGATCTAACCCACGCCTTCCGGGTCAGCAGCCGGGCACCCTAATCACTAACATTCAGAGGCAGTTCCTCCAAGATGCCAATCCGTGTATGTTAAGGAACATAAATGGTTTGCTGGAACTTGGAACTAAACAAGTTTTATTAGGACAAAATTGTAAGTTCACAATACAATTAGCTCAGTTAGCTCCCATTGAGCTTTAACATTAGGATGTCGATGACGTGAAATGTTACCAGTACAAAAGTACGATTTCTCGCAGCGTACCACATGCGCTGCCAAGGAATTTCGTTCATGCGTATAAGGCTTCATCATGGGTTCCTGGTCTGCACATGTAACCTTAAAAAAAAAAGTGGTACTATGCTCTCATGTCCTATTTCAAAAAACGACAATGGCCTCATTCCTCTGGCTAACTTCCCAGAAAAAAAAACTGGTTCTACCATTCTGAAAGATTCTCTTTGAGATATTTGTGGTCGTTCAAGCAGGATTGAGCCGCAAACGTTCCACTGGAAGAATTTCGAAGTTTGATAACTTTTGGTAAATTTTGATTCAGCAAGGAACTGGCTATATCAATATTTTTTTCTTAGAAAAGTCTATATAATAGCTTTATATAGAAGTTGGCATAAAATTCCAAAGAAATTCAGGGGTTGTACAAGATGAGCATTAATAAATTAGTTCCACATTGCGTTTCACTTTACTGAACAGTGGTCACCTTAACTTGCTTAACGTACAAAATACCTCGGTTACACCACTTCTCTCTGTATAACGTGGCCAAGCTAACGCAATGAAAAATTGGCAATGCTATAGTTTATCAGTGGCAAAATAACTATAAAGAACAACAACTGCAGATGAGAGGTTGGCAGTGAGACGTTCATACTTCCAACGCCATGCCAAAACTGGAGTTCAAACCCATCTAGACCTTTCGCTGTCCTAACAGTCTGCTTACCATCGGACAACAAATTGGCACCATTTCCCGATGGACCAGCCGCGTTTAAACTCGTGCTCAGCAGGCAGAATTCTGTTCTTTCAGACATGTGGATCACCCGCCGTGACAGTTAAGTACAAGCCACGCTGGTCAGCTCGAGGTGCGTGGGTTCGGTTCCCGATCATGAAGCCCGCATTTCGATAAGAGCGAAATGCTCTGAACACCCGTGTGGTTAAATCTGTGAGCACGTTCAGGCGATTTCAAATGGTCAAAGTAGGTCCAGAGTCCAACACAGCGGAGTCCCTCATAATCAGACCGTGCTTTTGGGACGTAAAACCTCAACAATAATTATATTATTGTGGATGTCTATCGCCACGTCTATTATTTTGTTTGTTGATATTAAAGGCCCATTTTAATATATAATTTAATGCAAACTAACCAAACATGTGTGTTGTGTTAGTCGAACATTGTATATGCACCACATATGGGTAAGGAGGTGCCAGCCGACGTCACCCAGCGTTTTCAGCTGATTCCTTGTATGCGTGCGTTTCCCGTCATATGCTTTACAGTGTCTCATAAACACCGCATCAGTGCATTTGTACACAAAAGCGATCATGTATACGTTTCCGCGAGAACGATGATATCGAAAAAAAAACATGAATTGCGACAGTTCCGTATGTATTCGTGCATCTTGTACCCTTCCTGTGCCCTCCAAGTTATAGGAGAATTGCATAGATAAATAAGTGTACAACACAGTGCATACATCAGGCATCATATGACAGCTTTACCGTGGAGATCCGTGTACTCTTCATGGCAAAACTGTACCCTTGCGATACAGAATCGCGGTCAGATGAATGACGCAGCGTCTGTTTTCAACAACGAACGTCCTACGCGAGGCACCTAAGCAGCTATACCCGAATTGCCCACTAAAGATGCATCCTACCCTGGACGCACCGAGTGTGGCTGTGTGCACGCTTAGATGGTTTGGATGCTTTTCTCTCCGAAGAAACCAAGCACGAAAGCTTCTCATGAGTGAATGCCAGAATATTATTTCGTGAACCGCTCTTGCGGAACACGTCTGAAAGGGCTTTTGGGCAGATGATATTGGTCTTTCAATATTTGCTAGGATTTTTTTAGTCTTGAGAGAATACATGTACTACCGAAAAAGTTTGTGCGAGATAGAGACGCTAGGGGGCGCTGATTTATGCTGTCGTTCATGCTGACAATTGGTGTCAGAAAGGTATGGTTAAAAAGACCGTAAAGTGTTCAGGATGTGGATTGGGTTTGAAAGTGGACCCAAGCGTAGAAGCGGATGTAGAAGAGGCTGGCGCGAAGTGTAGGCAATGTGAGGCCGAGGAAAAAATGGAGAAAATGATGGTTGCCCAGAGTGACCTGCTGAGGAGAATCACCGAGCTCGAGACTGCGGTGGCGACAGAGCAAGAAAAAACGAGGGCAATGGGAGAAAGACTGAAGTCCGCCGAGGAAGCGCAAGCGAAGCTGAACAAAGAAGCGACCTACCGAGAGAACAGTAAGGAACCGGCAACGAGAACGGTGGAGATGGAAGAGCAAGCAAGCAAGCTTGGAAAAAACAGGTTTAGCCGGTTCAACTGTCGCAAGGCCCAGCTTCAGCGAGGTAGTGGTGGGGCAGGAAGGGAACAAAGCAGCCGGCGTCACAGGTGCAAGTAGCCCCCAGGTGCAGAACGCTCCAGATGAAAAGTCACAGCATGTGATAATAGCCGGGGACTCGAATTTAAATCGATGCACAGAAGCCATCAAAGAGAGGGTAAGAGGGGACAAGAGGGTTGCGGTAGGGGCGTTCCCAGGACGCAAGCTGGAAGCAGTCATGAGGCAAGCGAGCACAAAGCTCAAAACGACAGCTGATAGACGAAACCTCGTGATAATTTCAGGCGGTTTAAACGATGTCCTCAATGAAGATGCAAAAGGACTAGCAGCCACACTGGCGAAAGGCGTCGATGACATGCGCGCCACTTCTCCTAAGGTACAGGTAGTTATATGCACGATACCGGAGGTACCGGTGCGTGATAGCAACCTGCAAAGAGCGGTGGTCAACGCAAACCAAGAGATATGGCGGATGAGTCGAGAGAAAGGCTTTGAGGTGGTGGAAATAAACAGAGAGGTGCATAGGTGGGGGGGGGGGGGGGGGGGTTCAACGAGACAGAATTCACTTGGATGGGCGGCTAGGTCATGAGGTGGGTTGGCAACTTGCAGGACGCGCAGTGGCTTTTTTGGGGGGCAAGCGAGCCCTTCGGGGTGCAGGATAGCTAGTAACGAGGAAAACAACCAGGGAGACTCTTCGACAGCTGGTATGGACAGATACGATTCCAAAGTGGCACCAATATCTAAGATAGGTAGAGTCCGGGGCATCAATAGACGTAGCCACGAGCGCCGAGCCAATTCAGACATAAGATATATTAACATGCAGGGTGGTAGGAACAGGCTGAAGTGGGAAGAGATAGAAGAACAGCTAAGGGAAGAGAGGCCGATGGTATACGGTTTTGTGAAAGGCATCTCAGGGACATGGAACAACCTCCGAACAATCCGGACTACGCGTGGGAATATTGTAACAGAACAGAAGGCAGCAGAAAGGGAGGTGGTATTGGGGCATTCATTCATAAAAGTACAGACTGGCAAAGGGTCAAGCAGGAGTGCAAGGAACATTTATGGCTAAAAGGGAAAGTGGCAGGTCAAATGACACTGCTTGGTTTCGTGTACTTGTGGACGGGAGCAAAGGCCAGAGAGGAAAACCAGGCAATGGTAGAGTGTATATCAAAGGACATTCAGGAGTTAGGAAGGGAGTGCGAGATAATTATACTATGAGACATGAATGCGCA